TATACACACTGTCTAATTCCTCTTTTCAAAGACAGCTCAGATATCAGTATTTGAAATTAATAATTTTTAGCCAAGAATGGTGAGATGAAACCATTTAAGCATATGATTGATGATAGTCTGGATGTTAGACAAACTTCAGGTGCAATCTAGATAGCAGTCTTGGTACACCAGATACCAGCAATTTTGAAGATATTGTGAAGAACTATATGATTCATTCATTTTACAAATATTTATGGAGCCATATTATGTGCCAGGTACTGTGCTGGCTTTTAAGGACAGAAAAATGAGCAGAATATAGGCCTTGCCCTCAGGGAAGTTTCCATGTTGCGGAGGAGAAGAGAGATGTCAACTGTCAATTCCAGTATGGGGCAATAGAGGGAGGCACGCATAGATTCCGTAGAAGCAGCCTGCTGAAGATGGCATCAGCCGTCGGGTGAATGCCCTGAAGAACTCATAGGTCAAGGGAAGAAAAGGCTGTGTCAGTGACTGCTTAGTGCACATTCACAGAAAAACGCTGGGTACATGGGGAGATATCAGCTATTCAACAGGATAAGGGGAAAAGCTCTCTGAAACCCGACAGAGGAGCTGGCAGAGAAGGCAGGGTCTACATCCGAGAACACTCTGAGACGGCTTTGTGTGGAGAGCTCACGGAGAGCTGCCAGTCAGCGTTAGAACTGAGATAAAGCTCTCCCACGGAGTTCCCTATTCACCACTGGTTCATTTATTCCCTCAAACCTAAGTTCCACGAGAGCACGGATCTTAGTCAGATTCCATCTTGACTGTATCCCCAGCTCCTAGAACAGTGCCCCTGGCACAAAGGAGGCTGTTGGTAAACACTTGTTCAATGAATGAATCGATGGATGAAAGAATTCACTTAACTCACATCAAATGACCACAGAGGTGGGTGCCCACAGCAGAGGAGCAGGATAATGAAAAGGGCAGAAGGCGTGGCGAGGCTTCTGTGCCTACTGAAAATTTCTGGAATCAACAAATGACTTTTCACATCCATTCCTTTTCATAGGAGATTGAATCTGCAGTGCCTTCTTTGTGTAATGTGCAGGACAAGAAAGAACACAGGCTTTGAAGTCAGACAGATGCGGGTTCAAACGCTGGCTCCTCCAGATCGGGGAGGACCTGAGGCAAGTCACACACCCTCCCTGCGTCAGTTTCCTTATCTCTAAAATAGGAATTGTATCTTCCGGGAGGCTGTAAGGGTTAAACAGGAAGAAACGTGCACAGCTCTGGGCCCAGTTCTCTTGGCCCTCACGCCACCCTTCTAGCCCCAGAGACGGGGTTGTGCAAAGCTCTGGTAGAGCCATGGGCCTCCAAGTCCCTGTGTATCCATCCTGGAGAGCTTCTCGGGCACTCTCCTATTTCTCTTAATCCCTTCTGTCTTTCCAGGAGCCTTCTCCAAGAGCCTTCCTTACTTTCTCAAAAGTGCACAGTAATCTCTACCTCCTTCCCCTTTTCCCCACCCTCACTTTCGGTTCCAATGATTTGTGGTTCACATAACAGATGTCACTGTTCTGTTCACTAGGGCAGACGCCTTTCCTTCCTTCCTAAAATGCTTGCACCTTACTTGGTACCCAAGTAGCCAACACGGTGCCTGGCTTCTGGCAGATGCTTAATGAACGTGACTCATGGTAATCCTCACTTGCCATACTCACTGAAGCTCAGGTCAGGAAAGTCATATTACACAGGCTGATGTACCAACTGTGACACATCACTGTATGCAGTGAGTGACAGACCATCATAACACTTCTCAAGAAGCCAATACAACTGATTATGTCAGAAACCCCACAGCTATTTTCAAAGACAACATATTCTCCATGTTTGGGGGAAATTATAAAATGAGACAAAAACCCTAACAAGTACATAGGATCTGCCTGGAGGATTGCCCACGGGCGCTCCAAGGATAAAGATGAGTGAAATTCTTTACTCATTCCTGTTTGCTGATCGGAGAGAACATTCGGAGGCTCTTTCTTGGTTTCGTCATGTATCTTAGTCTCCATATCACGAAGTCATGGAGGTATTCTCTCATTGCCCACAGCGGGATGCAAGATTTCACTCCTATCAATTAACATTGATGAATGCACCAATTAGAAGGCAAATCTAGTCAGGAGGACTGGATCACTCAATAGAAAATTCTGGTAATCCAGCCACAGTGGCATCTGCTTACCATATCATTAATCGGTTATTGATAATCTGACTTGGTCTTTAAGATGTCCACAACAGTCACACCCTAGCAGGGTGAGCTAGTCAAAAAGATCACTGATTAACAATATTTCTAGAGTTCATTCTCTATGCTAAGCAAAATCCTAAGTAATAGGGTGAATATAAAAGAATTAAAAGAAATGACTATCTCTCAAAAATCATACAAAGTAAATGGGAAACTAGAATCTACTCATCTATAACAACTTGAGGACACTTAAGGGAGTGGTTCTCAAAGGGTGGCCTGCACAGCAGCAGCAGCAGCAGCAGCACCTGAGAATCTGTTAGAAAGCCAAATTTCTAACCCCAGACCTACTGCATCAGAAACTGGGTGGGGCCCAGTAAGCTGTGTTTTTAACAAGCCTTCCATGTCATTCTGATGCACATTAAGTTTGAGAAACTCTGCTTTACGTCAACTAAGCAAGTTCAAATCAACAGAACACCAAGAGGTGACACATGTGCTGAGTAATGACACGGGGCTGGGTTATTCAGAGCATCCTCGATGACCTCTCTTTGACGGTACTGGCATGTCCAGATGCAAAGCGAAAAGCAGTTTAACACAGAGCCATCAATCCTTGATTGTCTTGATTACCTCCTCTGAATTATTAGTGGCAACTTCACACGATTCCAGGCTCATTTCCCCAATTCAGCCAAAATACTTTCAGACTACATCACTAAGATAAGCTAAATTGGTCTCAGAATGGTTTACAATATATAAAGGCAAATTACTGCTTCCTTTCATAACATGTGTGATCCGGAGCTGCCAAACTAGGACAGGTCACAAGAATTAAAATCATACGAAGTCTAATCCAACTCCGTCCCCTCCTAGTCTTAGCACACGGTCAGTCTGGGAGCGTTGTGAACATGCAGGCCATGATCCGATGGGGAAGACAGCCAGGCAGGTCCCCTGGACACCAGTGGTGAGGATGGCCTCTCCCAACTGCTTACCTGGGGCCTTTATTTGGCCTGTCAATCAGACTAAGGCTTACTGTGTTTTGAATCTCAGTTCCTGTCCTGAGATCCTTTTTCCCAGCACTGTACCTCCAGGTTACTGACCTTGGTCTGTTAACCTGACCTGATTCCTGATGACTTCCTTATTAATCGTTCCTGAATCTGGACTCCAATCTGACTAAGATTAACCCAACCGTACTCACTTAGCAAAAAAAAAAAAAACACCAAAAAAACCCATGAGCCTATCTCTTTGATGCACAGAAGGCTAGGGATCTACCCTTTTATTATAAAGTCCTGGAGGGGGAGAGGCCATAAATCCTCTGGAAATGGTTTTCGTGCAGCGTTTCTATCTATCATCATAAAGACAGTCATTATCCCCACTTTGTTAATTTACTCAGCAATGTTTACTATAGCGAATTTTTGATTACGTGAGTTCATAGAGATAATTTAATTCAATTTAACTTATAAGTAAACACCTGCTCTGTATAGGATAACATGCTAGGCCCTGAAGAGATGGCCCTACACACTCAGGGAATGTGATAGACAGAGGAACGGCCCCCAAAGATGTCCAAATCCTGATACCAGAGACCTAGGAATATATTACTTTACAGGAGAAAAGGGACATTCAGGTGTGATTAAATTAAGGATTTGGGGATGCAGATATTTTCCTGGATTATCTGAGTCGACCCCATGCAGTCACAAGGATTCTTATAAGAGAGAGGCAAGGGGGCCGAAGTAAGAGAAAGAGGTGATGAAGACGAGGTCAGAGAGAGAGACAACTGGATTCAAAGATGCTACACTGCTGGCTCCAAGGATGGAGGACGAGGCCACGAGCCAAAGAAGGCAGACAGCTTCTAGAACCAAGAAAAGGCAGGGAACGATTCTCCCTAGGGCCTCCAGAAGGAATGCCAAGGACCTCTGACCTCCAGGACCATAAAATAATTACTTATGCTGTTTTAACCCACTAAGATTGTCATATTTTGTTACAGCAACAACAGGGAGTTATAATAATAAATACAGAGAGTTATAATCTAGAAGAGATACAAGATGACACAGACAACTTTGCCGTAATTCAGAAAGTGACAAGTATAAAATAGACATTGCTATAGAAATGTGAATAAAATGAGTACTTCTGGCTGGAGAGATTAGGGAAGCTTCCTGAAGGATGGCAGTTCTGCTGGGCCCTGAAGGCTTGGGTAGGATTTCAAAAGGGGGAAATCCAGGAAAGAGCAAGAGCAAAGGCAGAGTTGTAAGGTACAGAATCAAACAAAAAGCCAACCTCAGCCCTTATGACCAGGCATTTTCTTAAGGACAAAAATCATTTGATGAAAACTTGATATATTCTACTCAGGATATAGTAGGTCTCCAAGTTTGTAAAAAAAAATTGTAATAGGGGCTGGCCTGGTGGCACAGCAGTTAAGTTTGCACGTTCCGCTTCTCGGCGGCCTGGGGTTTGCCGGTTCGGATCCCGGGTGTGGACATGGCACTGCTTGGCAAGCCATGCTGTGGTGGGCATCCCACATATAAAGTAGAGGAAGATGGGCACGGATGTTAGCTCAGGGCCAGTCTTCCTCAGCAAAAAGAGGAGGATTGGCAGCAGATGTTAGCTCAGGGCTAATCTTCCTCAAAAAAAAAATTGTCATAATACTCAATAACCATATTATATGTGATAATCTATCCTAAGAGTTTAAATACAGAAATAGAGATCTTGGGGAGGAATTCCCTCTCTCCACAGAACACGACAGAGCTGAGGATGAATCTGGCTCATTTTCAGTCAGGCGGGCTTGACAGAGATGGACAGAAACACTAAGGGTCAATCGAAATAAACAAGAAGGTAATTCTTTAAAAAGGCATCTATTACCATTCACAAATTAGACATTTCCTAAGTCCTGGCAGGCAGATGAAACCACACAATGGACTCCAAGTGAACTGACCATACTCAGCAGACCGGAGGCTCTGAGCTCACGCAGATGCTGATGGAGACCATTAGAATCCACTCCCTTTCCGGTAGGTTTTCATTGTTGTGCTTGTCCAAAGCCAGAGCCCATGTTTGATCATGAAGCAATTATCCTGATAAAACAAATTTCTAAGCCACCCCGTTTTTCGAGGTAGAAAGGAAGGAATAGAATTGTCCAGATTGTTGATCAGCATTACCCAAATTCACCATCACTCATCCTCTTGGCATTACTCGTGAAAGACAATGTCTCCCCATGATGACACCAGCACTCAGGTACTTCAGCAATATTTGCTTTCTTCCTTATCTTCTGGTGAAATTGCCTCCTTTTTGTACTCTTCACATTCATTCCAGGAAAATTCAGAAGACCAGCTAATCTCCATTGGCCTGCTCCTGTAAGACTGGCCCAGAGCTTCTGCAGAAGGGTCCATAGTCACACCACAGGTGCTGGAGTCCTGGGATGGAGCTGCATCCTTTGGAGACCAACTCTTTTCACAAGAAGAACTGGGTATGTTGCAAGCATCCTCATTTCTCTGACTCCCTGTCTTTCTCTCAAAGCCCAGAAACGTCACCTCAGACTGGCTACATTCAAAGGGAATTTTCTGAGTCATTCTCTCTTTTCTCCAAGCTTTATCAGGAGGCAGGGAAGAGTTATTCTGGTTTTCATCATTTTCCACTGGAATACTTGGTACGTTGTCCAAGAACAGAGGAGAAGGACACCTGAAGGACTTCAGTGAGGCGGGAGGGTCTTCAGCAAAATACAAGCTGGCCGGAGTGCTCTCAAGAACGGTCAGGACCTGAGGAACCAAGAAGTCAACACTGAGTTCAGCTTGAATCACCTTTCTTCCTTTCTTTATCTATCTATTTATTTATTTTTGTGAGAAACATGGTCCCTGAGCTAACATCCGTGCCAATCTTCCTCCACTTTGTATATGGGACACCGGTCACAGCACAGCTTGATGACCCATGTGTAGGTCCACGCCCGGGATCTGAACCCCTGAACCCCAGGCTGCCGAAGCGGAGAGCACAACCACTCAACCACGGGGCTGGCCCTGAATAACCTTTCTTTTTACCTTCTTTCTGTCTACCAATTAAGGAGTATTCTCTGATGCTCACAAAATAAGTTCAACCATAGAATTTTGAATAAGAAGGGATTAAAGATTAGGTAAACCTCTTCATTTTAATGAGTGTATTGACTTGAAGCCAAGAAACTACACTGAATTAAATTTCAAGAGACCTGACTTCAGGCCCAAATTGGCACCCACTACTCTGTGACCTTGGGCGAGTCTCATCATTCCTCACTTCCACCTTAATCTGTGGAGCACTGGAAGGGGCTGGGGGACAGCAGACTCGACCTGGGTTCTCAGATGCCAGGATTATCTAAGAGAGCTTTCAGATCCCTTAGCCCCAACCTAAAGATTAGCATTCAAAAAATATGGAGATGGGGGGCCCAAGAATCTGAATTTTAAAAGCATCCCAGTTGATTTGAATGTGTAGCTCAAAGTGAGAACTGTTGACCTCATATAAAATTATATATAACATACCTTCATATACACATGTAATTTAAAAAATATATAGAGAGAGCTTTACAATTTACAAAGTGCTTTCACACACATCACCTCATTTTATTTTGTATGCTTTTTGGTGAGGAAGATTGGCCCTGAGCTAACATCTGTTGCCAATCTTCCTCCTTTTTTTTTCCTCCCCAAAGCCCCAGTACGTAGTTGTATATCGTAGTTGTAGGTCCTTTTAGTCTTCTATTTGGTACGCCTCCACAGCATGGCTTGCTGAGCAGTGTGTAGGTCCACACCCAGGGTCCAAACTGGCAAAGCCTGGGCTGCTGAAGCAGAGTGTGTGAACTTAACCACTTGGCCACGGGGCCAGCCCCACATCACCTCATTTAATCTGCATAAACAATATTACTATTCTCATTTTATAGATAATAAAGTTGAGGCTAAAAAAGGGAATCACTATCACCAGCCACTAAGGAAGCAGACCTGTTGCTTGACCTCAGAACACCTGGCTCCCGGTTCCATGTTCCTTCCACTATACATCACATAGCTCCTCTTGGGCCCAAGATTCCAGGTCACACAGGTCTTACTGGTGGTGTCAGGCCTAGAATACAGTTCTCCTGACTCTTAGGCAGTGCTCTGCATATTCTGATTAAGTCAACTCCTTGCTTAAAACCCTTTCATGGCTCTGTGATAAAATAGAAACTTCTGGAATGGAATTCATATTTTACCTCCTGGAACCTTCTATCTTTTTTTTTTTCCTTTGGTGAGGAAGATTGTCCCTGAGCTAACATCTGTGCCAATCTTCCTCTATTTTGTATGTGGGATGCTGCCACTGCATGGCTTGATGAGTGGTGCATAGGATCTGAACTGGCGAACGCCAGGCTGCTGAAGTGGAGCATGTGAATTTAACCATTATGCCACCGGGCTAGCCCCCAACCTTCTATCATTTTACCCACGCCGGCTTTTCCCTCACCCCCTCCCACTTCCATGATGCTGAACTACCTGCAGTCTTAGTGCCTTGAAATCCATCACCTGTGAGCCTCTGCAGGTGTAGATTCTCTCTGCCTAGGATGTCCTTCCATCCTTACTGCTGCCTAAATCCAGTCTGTTCTTCAGATCACAGCCTAACTATCACCTCCATCAAGAAGCTTCCCTGACTTCCACAGGCTGGTAAGTATTCTGACTCTCTGCTCCCACGTGGGCCTGGACTCCCTTCTGCTTGAGGACAGCGACTATATCTTGATCACTTGTATCCCCAGCACCCAGTACAAAGTCTGGCACCTGCCGAGTAGGCACTAAATAAATATTTGTTGAACAAATAAATAAGTGAATGGCTGATTAAATCCCATGAACAGATGAGTACATAAAAAAATCAATAAGGGAAATACACACTGCATTTTTAATGGGCCAGATCTCTTAATGAAGGTTGAATAAAATATTCTCTCCAAACGACTTAGGTCTTTTCACTAAATTTTCTGTGGTGCCTGGTTCCACTCAATAATGACCCCTACCAGAGTATCAAATAATGTGACCTGTTGACCTGGAAAAGCTATCTATTTGGTTAGAGTTGTCTGTTGAGGGCTGGATTTGTCTCAATGATAAAAAATTCACTTAGACACACAATTTATCCAGTTTACATTTTCCAGGGGCTTAGTTTTGAATAAAACCATGTGCATACATACTTCATCCATCGATGGTCTCAACTTGGCCCGTGTTGCAGCACACTGGCCCGCCAAAGAGAACAGCTTGGCAGAGAAATTCCGAGGACAGGGACACACTTTCTTATCTAGATATGAGAGACATGAATCAAGGCCTCTCTTTTCCATCAATTCCATAAGAAGATCCCTCTAGGAACAGGAGAAGACAAGCTTATCATTTAGAACTCCATCGGAAAAACGACCAAGAGACAGGCGCAGAGACGAACACAATTCTTACCAGCTGGATGTGCTTTGGCTCATCCAACACCACTTTACAACCTGTCAGAACTTCCATGATTACCTACAAGGAATACACAGAAAGTCAGCTACATTTGTTAAATAGATACACACAATTGGTTGCAACAACTAACCTTGACGATGAATATAGTTCATTCTAATTAACGACTTTATATTTTATTGCTTGACTGACTGCATAATTTTAATGTAAAAGACAATAAGTAACAGGAAATCAATAGGTCTAAAAGTTAATGCCCTTAAAAAAATTCTTAGAATTTAGAGCCTTCTTGGTGACAAATACCCCCCTTGGTGAACTCACAATCCCAAAGCTGTAGACGTCGGTTTTGACGGTGAGTCTGCCCTGCCTGACGTACTCCTCGGGCATGTACCACAGGTGTTTCCTGTTGCAGCCGGTCACGCTGATGGTGCAGTGCTGGTGTTCAAGGTGGGGTCGGAAGTGCGCCACGGCAAAATCAGTTAGTTTGGGTTGAAACTGATCATCCAAAAGTATGTTTGCACTAAAATTGGGATCAAGGACAAACAAGACAAAACATCACAAAGGCATTCGGGTGAAAAACAACGTGACAAGCTCCCCTTCACATCTGGTTACTTCCAAGTGTGGACAAAATAAAGCCATATGCAATTTTCCACGAACTAGAGCACATTTTCCCATTTTTCTTACAGTATAAATCCAAGTGTTGTATAAAACCTAAAACAAAAGCCTGCCCTAGGAAGACTGGGCATTTCCTACTTACAGACACATACATGCAGTTGGTGGACACAGCCGATGGCTTGTCAACAGGAGAAACTAAAGTTCACCAAGCAGCTTTCCTTGGGCTCTCCTTACATGTGACAAGAACAGTAACGGAGCTCTAATCAGCTAACAATCACGTGTCTGCTGCGTGCATGGAGCTGTGTGTGCAACGCTCGGCTTAGCAGAAGAGAGCCACTAACCTGTGGTGATCTGAGGAATCTTTGGGAGACCCTGCCTTAAGGATACCCTACTGCACTATTCTACCTCCACGGCTTATTTGTGCTTGAGTCTTATTTAAAATGCAAATATCTGCAGAGGCCAAGGCCAAGCGCTTGGAGTCGGTGTTAGCTGTTCGTCCCATCAAAAGCTTAACGATCACTTCACCTCATGGCTGAGTGCTCCCTTCGGAGGGCCATCCCAGCAGGGATGGGAAAGGATGCGCCCATGCATTTCACGTGGCACACAGCCTGCATTGGGGCCAGCTCTGCCTTTTCCTGGCTCTGGAACCACTGGCAGTTTACTTCACCCCGTAAGCCTCAATGTCATCTTTCCTCACATGTGAAATGAGGGAAACAACAGAACTGGCATGGAGAATATAAATAACCTACTCCTGGTACACCGTAATGCTCAACAGATGGTTGGTAAGACGAAAACGAGTAATTAATCATAAGAGAGCAGATGGATGTTGATAAAAGAGGTGGGTGGGCCAGGAGAAAGTTGCCCATGTCTCAGTGTTGCCTAGGGCTTTTTGTCCCCTGCCAACAAAGCTTCTAATACCAGGCCTGCCCATCCAAGATGCCAAGTGGCATAGTTGTAGTACTACACATTGTTATTAAAAGCGGTAATAGCTACAGGATAAGAAGAAGCAATTCTTAATGCTGAACAAATACTGGACCTTACAAAAGCTCCAGAAGCCCTTGCTGTCCCCGTACAAATAGCCAACAGGCAGACAGTAGTTCCACGGGTCTGAAGTGCAGGTATGATAACGATTCAGAGGATTCCGAGTCCTAGTTCTACTTAGAGGACGTGAAGCTAAGGCTTCAAGGATTCTAGTCCACACCTTGTCTAGCACTGTGTTGATGACAAACAAAGTGAAGAGACATCCTAGGGCCCTTTAAGGATGGAGAAGGACACGTTCTAGACTTTGTCCACTCTCTCTCCTCTAATGCTGGCAGGAAAATGGTGAGATCCAAAGGGACGCTCTTCAGCATGGGCCCCAGGGCCCTCACCGGATGTGTGACCCTTGGGTTTATGAGGAGAAAGTCAGACACGGCCTGGCCCTCCAGACTTGTATCAATAATCACAGTCCTCATTTTTCTCCTTGCTTTGTATTTTCTCCCCAGATACTTCAGGCCTGGCAGCTTCTAAGGCCAGCCTGGGCCTCACGGATCTCTGTCACTCCTCATCCATCCTCTGGTTTTCTCATCCAGAGAGCAGCGTTGACTATGCTGACATCCCCTGAGGATGAGGAGTACACCAGAGCCTACGCTCTCTCCAGCTCTAGATAAGAACAGACACTCAGTTCACAATTACTTCTTCCACAGGTGCACGCTTCACTAGTTCACATCAAGGCTGGGGCTCCTGGAGATGCCCTGACCACTCCAGAGTGCTGGGGCATTGAGTGCAGGAGACTGCCAGGGGTGCCGGGAGCTGAGGTGGGCACAGGGGGCCCCTAACTCTCATTCCCAGGACCCAAGCTTCTGCCCCTCCAGCTGCTGCCTCACCAAGAGCCTGGCTGTCTTCTGCACACAGCCACCCTCCCTTGCCGTTTCTTTCAGCCCAGGAGGAGGATCGAAAGATTCTGAATGCCGAAGTTTCAATGTCAGACATCTAGCCCTCTTCCTCTTCCCCCCAGCTCTAAAGAAGGAATAAAGTCATAACACGCCAGAACCATGAGAATACAAAGGCTGAATTTGTGAAACACTTAGAATCTCTGAAGAACAGGTCTTTTCTAAATACAAAAGGAAAAAAAAAAGCAAAGACAACAAAACCCATAATCTAATCCATTTATTGACCCTCAGAACCACTGGGGGCAGCCTTCAGCAACTGGTGACTCATGCTTCTGTAAGTGTCGGGCAGTGTGCTGGGTGAACACAACGAGTTACCCAACAAACCACAGGGGACACTGGGTCAGGGAGAGGCCGTCAGGAAGAATGTGCAATTGTTCTAGGGCATTGCGTTTGCACTTTGAATAATGGTATTTGGTCAAAAGACAAGTTGTTTACCAGCGGACTTTAGGGTGTAACATAAATTTTGAGTCCAGTGATTTACTCTGTTCTAAATAAAGGTTAATGGAGCTGAGGAAGAATGTTCCGTTTTAGGAAAGTGGGAATTGCAAAAGGCCCTTCGACAATCAATTTTACCATAATTCCATCCCCTTCTTCAACCTTAAATAGAACGTTCAAACATAAAATGCCTTCAGCCACCGTGCAGGTCAACTGATTACGTTTATCCTGTGGGCAAAAAAACAGACTAACAAAATAAAGACAATATAAAATAACTAAGATCATATAACGATATAATGCCAGAAACGGTGGCTTGCTAGCTACTGTGGTCACCAAAAGAGAGAAGAGAAACATCCCACGGCCTACACCTTCACTGTAGTGTTTCTACAACCTACTTCTTTTTTTCTTTCCCACGAGGCTACTTCCTGTAACAGAAAGGCCATCGCCTCTCTAGACAATTCCTCCAGCAGAAGGATCAGCGGTGGTGCACTAAAAAGCAGGTGGGGAAAATCCGACAGCACGTGGTGAACTGGGATTCTGACCCTGGGGGTGTTACTTAATCTCTCTGTTGCTAGGGGTCTCTAGGACAACTCTTTCAAAAGCTACAAGAATTGCTTTCTTTGCTCACTAGGTTGTCTCCTAATTTAGTTGAAGCTTTTGGGCCTTAAATATAAAGGGAGATGATACACCTAGATTATAACACAGGATTTGAATTCAAGCGCAAATGCCACGTTTTATGTGTAAGTGCATGATTGGTTTTTAAAGATATTTATTTTTAAAGTATTTTAGGGGGAATTTTAAGTGCCCAGTAGTCTAGCCCCTGAGTGCCTGGCAACTCTTAGGAAAAGTTCAGGCTCCACCCAACCGGCCCCAGAGATAAAGAGGATCCAGCTGGCTTCTCCCTGACACCCTGAAGCAATAGGACATCTTGCTGTCTGTGTCACTCCTGTTGCAACACCATGACACCCCTCACCATGACACCCTTCTTTCCCTCATCAGATGAGGCAAGACCCAGTTTCTCCAGGAACCCACAGGTTACTGGAAAAGGGCACACTCTCCTCCCCCATTTCAGCATGCAGCGCATCAGGCCTGAAGTGAATGAAGCTGAGATTGTTTACTCCCCACGGGGTTATGGAGCTTTCTCTTTCCTTCCCATGGAACCCAGGCACGACCGAGAGACATTATTCAAGCTTGTTTTTGCTTAACTGGTGCCTTGTGAGTCCAGGCTCTCTGTGTACAGGCCCAGCCAATAAGGAGTAGTCCTGCTTTATATGTGAAATTGTGTCTCTAACCAAACCAGCACAGCTTCCCTGAGCCTCAGTTTCCCTGCAGGAAAAAGGATGTAACGATGTTGACCTCACAGAGCTCCTACCAGGATTAAAGGAGAGAACGCAAGCAGGGCGCCTGATACACACGGAAGGCCTGGAAACGCACTTTAAAGGACGGAGCCTGGCCACTGTCCATCCGACCGCCGCCCCCCCCCCCCCCCCCCACCCCGCACCTTACCTTAAAGCCCCAGGAAGCCCCAAGGTACCCTGGCTGGTTACCGCTAGAAGTTCAGGGACACCAATTTAAAGGAACAAAGGTCCAGAGGGCGGCAGGATCACCCTGGAGATCTGAGGACTTTCAAGCCATCAGCTGAGTTTCACAATAGTTCCAGAGAAGTTGTGGAAGAACAGACTAAAGTAACATTCCCAGATATTTTAAGACCATGGAGAGAAAAAAATATATATTGTTTGGCAATGTATGTATCCATGTGTATAAATAAATGAATGTTGGGGTTTAGAGACGGTGGTGATAAATAGAATTAATAGGGGAAATTTTAACTTATGTAATATTTAATTGTTTTGGCATCCCTTAGAAAAAAATGAACATATTTAGATATCTTGGAAGAAGACAAACACTATAAGGAAAATAGGAAAGTCTGAGGAAAAAGAACTGTTAATACCTAAAATGTTTCTAAAAAACAAAAATAGTTTTTCGGGGGAAGAGAAAGAGAGGGAGGAGATTGGTTCATTAACCAGTCAGTCAAACAAACAATCAGACTCTGCATTCCCTGAGGACTTGGCCATCCCTGCCACCTGCCAACACTGCGGTGGGGGGGGGGGGGGTGAAGAGCTTGGGTCCTCAGGCAAGGGTATCGCAACGTAGGAGGGGGCCCACCTGTGGCTTCCTACCCTCCTTCCCAACCCCTCAGTCTTTCCAGTCCCTCACAAAGGAAAGTCTCCATGCACTTACCACGACCACACACCTCTAATCAATTTCTATTTTGTAAAAATTCATTTTTAAGCAAACGGCATCTTCCTTCCTTTCTTTCCTAGGCCACCTCCCTTGTACGAAAGATTCTTTCACTTGGCAGGACACAAACGACAATACCGACGAGAGAACTCGATCCTATAGGAAACATCACACACGTTCACCAAGATTATCTGCTCGCCTTGGAAACGTTAGCAGGAAAGACTGTCTGGGATGAAAAATGCTGGAGATAAAATGCATTTCCATTTAAAATTGCTCATAAATGTGAAAACAATTAAGCTCG